AAATTTTTTTTTGCCATTAAGTTCATTAATAGTATTTCTTCACAATTAGGTCCCTAACTCTCACTTGATGCTCTAGAAATTTTGGGGTATTACATCCACCCCTCCTAAAAAGGAGTTTTGTCCCCAAAACTCAAATCTAGAATCATTTAGACTGGTGAATGGCTTCACGCAATCTAAGACAACTAGTGCCCATCATATGACAACCATCATATGGCCATAGCAGTGCAGAATCAATAAATCAATATTTCTGAAAAATCAAAGCAACGGAGGGAATCATGAAGCCACCACTACAAAATTGCTATTTGCTAAACAAGGGACAAACCTTTTTCACGGTCATGAACCCCAAATCAGACTCTAGATCTTTTCCAAATCAGAGAAAGTCATAACAAAATCAGAGACCATAAATTCCACACAAACAGAATGCTGGAAGGACAGAGCAGAACCAAAATAGAGCAGAATTAATTTGCCTTCCAAAGAAACCCAGATGAGATTCTTACCAAGGCTACAGAAAACAATAGCTTAACTATGCTATGAACCCAAAATAAAAACGAGCTAACAAGGAATGGCATGGCACGAATTTTGATACACTAATCGAATTGAGACCTAAATCATGGCCTCCAACCCAATGGGTAGCTTGTGAAAGAATAGCTCAAAATTCTTAAAGAGTGCTAGCTTAAGCCAAGGGAAATGCTTTAGAAAAATCCATGTGGACAAATTTCCCATTTTCGCAATAAATTTGGTTGGCCAGATGTTTTCAAAGATATAACTTAAATTAAGAATTTAGAAGATTAAGCAAAATCAAATCAAGGAATTACGGAGGATCTAAACTTTTCTTGCATAAAATTTGAGTTCCAATAATGGCCTCTATAAATAACATTACATTCCAGTAACTTAAATGTATTCCAAGCTCTGGGATAAAACATCAAGAAAACTAAAGCCATTTTGAGGTTGGAGACTCCAACTTAAATTTAAGACCTTCATAGTCTTAATGGTCAAGAAACAGCACATAGCAAAATCAAAAGTAAATCCCTAGATTAGGGGGACATATATACAAAGTCCAAAAGATTAGGTTTTCCAATAAGGGATAGAATGTGCTCAATAGTCCATCTCAAGCATATCCTTAAAAGCACCATTTTGTCCTAGAGAAGACGCTTGAACTAACAACTCTTTCATTTGTGGCAAAAGACACTGTAGCACAACACAGGAGGCATATAACCACCCAAATGTTCTGCAACCCTAAAGGGTATGGTTTAAGTTTTGCACAATTTCAACCACTGATTCTCAATAATAATCCACAAACAAAGCAAGCTTTAGATGAGGGACATCATAGCTCTACAGGTTTCATGGCCGGACTCTTTGTAGGTAACTAGATGCAAGTAAACCAACAAGGATTTCTAACAAAGAAACAACTGGATAGCTGTCACAAAACTGGTTAAATACTTTAAAAGTCAGGCCGGAGACAAAACAAATGTCACTCGAGAATGACAATTTATATCAAACTAAACAATCTAAACAAGGACCACATTCTGCGCACCAAATTTTTAAACACAAAATAAGTAGCAGCATTAGCATCCACAACAACAATAACAAGGAAATCAATCTCAAATACACGGCTAACAATTACAAGGGTATACTAGTCAGATTCACTTCACAGGGAATGAATACTCATCACCGCCCTAACAAGCCAACAACAATCTCAATCTCCACCCTCCCCAATGGCCATTTGGGAAGCAGGAGATAACTTCACGCCTCAACACAAGTAACAACACTCGAGGGTTAGCAGCGTGATAATGTGGTGCCCTTGACTCAGATCAATACCCGGTACTCATCAAACACAACAATATGGCAAGGAATCTAATGATGAGTACAACTAAAAGATGGAACCTTATCCGAGACGGATAAGCATCACTCGGATATATGGGATCATGAATGGATGAATGCATGTATATGCATTTATGAATGAATGCCTTTATGCGCATGCATGTATGAATGCGCATGCGTGCATGCATGAATGCTCATGTGTGCATGCATGTATGCTCATGTGTGCATGCATGTATGCGTGTATATGCTCATGTATGTCTATGTTTGCATTCATATATGAATGCCCAAATGGATACCCAAACAAATAGACCTAATGTGGAAGGCCTTATACATCCTGCCACAACCAAAACCAAGCATACTATCACAAGGGACCAAGTTTCAAACAAGGCCTTAAGGGCATAGTCAGTAAAGATTAATTTCAAAAGGTTACAAGGCTGCTATTCTTCTTAAGTTTGGCATCAATAAATTAAAATGTAATTCACCACATTTTAAGTCCAAGAGAGGACCTCATGCTGATGTAACTTCTTACTAGAGTTTAGCGTGCAGAGACACTCCAAATCACAACTTATAGGTGGCAGACAAAGAAAGAAATTGATGAAACAGCTGGAACTAATTTTAGCACCCAATTTTATTCTTATGCACGCAAATGGTGGAGCATCTGACAGCTAAAATAGCAACTCAAACGCACTTGAACTTAGCCTAAAACAGACTAGAAAACAGCTGAATAAAAGGGCAAAATACTGGTCAGATTCTAAACACAAAGGTTACAACAAAATTTTCTCCTTGGAAATGGTAGAACTGGTTTGAATGCTCAACAGGAAAATTAACACTCTATCTCTTAGCTTTCTATAAAACCAGGAATGGCTTTAATCCAACATCTACAGAAGAAGCTATGTACATAATACTACTCCCAGATCAGGTTGCTAGAATTCAAATCCATTACATATTGATTAAGCTGGAAATTTTCAGAAATTAAGGTAGTTCCAAACCAAAGTTTAGTATAAATTCCATGACAATTTAAGACCAAAACAAGGGAACAATCAGCCTTGCACACCTCAGACAACGCAGAAATGAGCTCAAAAACAGCAACTTCAGGTATGGACATCTAGAAGCAAGTCTAGGCAAAAAAATTGGGTAGACTATTTAGCAGGAAAAATTTCACTCATGTGTGAAACACTATCCTTTCCTGCAAGAGCATTTGGATATGTACAGAAACTAAGTAGTATCAACCACAGCTTGGACACTAGCATGACATGGACACACACAACATATAGACTCAAATCCCATAAGGATTTCCGTCAGAACATGAAAATTCCTGATTGATCATTGTCACTTCACATCTAAGTTCATTACACAGGCGAATCAAGTTATCCACTCAAAAATCATCAAGTATCAAACAGATGTATTGAACCAGAGTCATACGATTGAAACACGAGAAACGAACCAATTTAATTACCATTACGAATGCAAAATAACTTGTTTTAAGTCTGAAACAAAAGCTTACAAGCAGATTCACACAGACACTAAAATCATCAACCACTCCAAAAACTGAAGGGGACTGGAGATTTAGAGAACAAAAAGCATCAAGAATTGGAAATGATATCCGGAGTGGAAGAAGAGGGGAGGAGCTGAAAAGCTTAGAGTCCCTCTTCATCACACACCCAAAACGGTAAGGCTAAATGCAAAACAGATTTGAGCCTAAGCACAATACATCATCAGAAGATACAATGACACAAGGAACCATAAAACTAAGTCAATCAATTTTGCAAGAATTTTTATCAACAGAGCATTAAAATCTCCAAACACAATTTCCAGATTTACCATTATCATCTCAGTTTATCATCCAAACTAAAAGTTCCAGAACTAGATCAATTTCACCAACATTTACAATCAAAATTGTCCCTTGTCTAACCCCATCACTCGTCTCACCACGGTTCTAAGATCCATTGGCTAGCCAAATCCAAAACAAATCCTAGGTATTTAATTAAACCTAGACTCTGACATCACAAAATCTTAATTAAACCTAAGCTCTGATACCACTAAATCTGTCACGCCCTAGAACCCAAATCCGAGGCGCGACAGACGCTGTGCACTCGTGAGACGGGTCTCACAAAAACACAAGGCTCGGAACTTATTCAAATCCCAAACTCTATTCTCGCAAAATCTGTTTTAATACCATAAAATTCAAGGTACAATCTATCTTCCAAGAAACATGATTTATTTCTAAAATTATATCAATCTCGAAATGGCTAGCCTTCTAACTCGTCACTCCCAATGGTTTCCATGTCTCGGGTCATACTACCTGAAATGGTGGACAAGGGAAAATCATGAGATAAAATATCTCAGTAAGTAAACATGGGGGCCCGACATCAAAGTTTAAAGCATGCCAAATAATCGGTTGAAACATGAACAGAGCGTTTCAAGAACAGAGCGTTTTAATAACAAATCATTAATGCAAAATAAAATCACGTAGTGGTCTCCTCTATTAGTCATGGCCAGTGTTATAAACCTCCCACTGGCAAGCACACGAGTACTAGTGTATAATCCCCACTAGTAGGGCCACGAGTGAACCGGTTCTATCAATAACATGTCGACATGTGCTAGCGTTTATAAACCTCCCACTAGCGGGCACACGAATAACATGACCATATCGGAGACAAAACCAAGCAAGATTTACAGAAACCACGATTCACAATCGTTCTCACGTTAAAAAATAAACCAAAGAATCTCATGTGGGCATGCTCACTTCTAGAAAAGAAGGAAAATAATAAAAGTTCAAATTCCCTTTTTAATCATGCTCAAATGCAAATAAATCCATTTAAACCTCGCCACCATCTCAGAAAACAATTAAAATATTCTTCAACATTTACGGGCTTTACCATAATTTACTTACCTCACTCCGCAAAACTGAGCACTCAATTCATGTACTGAACTAACAGAACGATCAAGAACCTAATCAAAATATTCAAGAATTAATAACCAATTTCCTTTTCCTTTTCCCATCACATTCTCACAACCAAACAAAACCCCAATCAATAATACATCACTACTGGACTAAAATTAATCCAATGCCATAACTAACGTATTCCATGAGATTTTCTACTCAAATTAATTAAAATTCAACGGATGAACAGTGCACATAAACAGTGCACATAAACAGTGCACGCAGTGAACAGTAACTGTAACTTCTAAAAGTTGGCGAGGAGCAAAATTTGCAGTAAACGGCAAGAAATTTGGGGGAAAACAATGCAGAAAAATAGCAAGGAAAAACGCTGCAGAATGCAGAATTTTTCTGGAGAAAATACAGAGTTTTCTGGTCAAAAACAGTGCAGGAAAATGCAGAATGTTTCTGCGTGAACAGTAAAAACAGCAGCAACTTGCAGAAAAATGCAGCAGCAAGTTTGCAGAAAAATGCAGCAGAAAATGCAGAAAACGCAGCAGCAAATTGCAAAATTTCCTGCGTGAACAGTAACTGCGCGTGAATAGTAAAATTTTGGCAAAACAGCAGGATTTTCCACACAGAACAGCAGTTAATTTCAAGCCAAAAACAGGTTTATTTCTACATGAATTAAGCTAAAAAAACATGTTTAAAATGCTGCCAAATTCTTCCATATTTCGGCAGAAATCCGGACAGCACAACAGAGGGTTTTCGGATAACACGGGCAGCAACTAATTAATCATTTTTGGACTTAAAGATGCCATCAACATACCAGTATTTTTCCAGCAGCCAAAACCGGGGCTGGCGGGTATGGAGGCCGACAGAGACTGGAGGAGAAATCATGAAAACTACCACAAAATTGCAAGAAACAAAAGGGATTAGAGTGACCCAAGCCAAATTAAAGCTAAAGAGATGAACTTGAAGCTGGTTCTTACCAAAAATCCCGAAGGATTCACACCCAGCAGAACAGCGGACAGACCAAGGGAAGAAACAGAGCAGATCTGAAATTCCCACTTCAAAGGGAGGGTTCTAGGTCCTAAAATCAGTTCTTTAACAAGAAAAGGAAGGGAAAAATCAAGTTTGTTACCAATTTTTCTCAAAGGGGATGAGTCGGTGGCTTAGGTGAGCTTCGGTCGACAGAGGAGAGGAAAAATGAAGATGAAGAGCAAAACACGTGGCTGAGGATAAAAATATCAGCCTTGATCCTTATCCTAATCTCCTTTCTTTTTAGTCCCTAAACTTTGAAAATTTTTTTTTTGCCATTAAGTTCATTAATAGTATTTCTTCACAATTAGGTCCCTAACTCTCACTTGATGCTCTAGAAATTTTGGGGTATTACAGTTCGCGAGGAACCCAGGCTTCTGGGTGCGAACCCAGCTCATGGGTTCGCACCTCGCGAACCCAGCTCATGGGTTCGCACCTCGCGAACCCAGTCTCCTGGGTGTGAACCCACGAGCTGGGTTCGCGAGGAACCCAGGCTCATGGGTACGAACTTGCGAGCTGGGTTCCTCACGAACCTAGCTCGTGGGTTTGCACCTCGCGAACCCAAAGAACCCACGAGTTGGGTTCGCGAGGAACCCAAGCTCCTAGGTGCGAACCCGCGAGATGGGTTCCTTGTGAACCCAGACTCTTGGGTTCCCTAGAGGTAAAAGGAGAAAAAGAAAAAAAAGAAAAGGCCGGAGGAAGGAAAGGATGGGGAAGAAAGAAGAGAGTAAATTAGTAATTAAAGGAAAAAATTTTACCATGTCATCAATCTTTGAGGGCAAATCAGTAATTAAAAGTAAAAAATTTAACCATATCATCATTTTTTGCCAGATGGATTTTCCAGGTAATTTAATAAAAAAACAAAATGAGTTTTTCCATTAATTAACATGCCACATCATCCAAAATTTAACGGAAGGACTAAAAAGAGGCTGGATTTGTGAACAGTAAGGACCAAAAAGGGGATTTTTTTGGTACAGGGACCAAAAAAGGGCTTTTTCCTATAATTGAGGGACCAAAAAGGGTATTTAACCTATTTCTATTTGTTTTATATATGATATAGAAGTTGGTTCCATTTTGTTTTTGTTTTCGTATAGGGACTTGTACTAGCTCTTGAAAAGAAGTTTCTAAACTTGGAACATAGGTTTTGGGTAAGGCATCTCTACAACAATTTCAAAACAAATCACAAGGATACAACTTTGAAGGAAAAATTATGGAAAGCTGCAAGGTCCACATAAGAGCAGGAGTTCAAGCAAGCAATGTTCAAAATGAGATGTTGATCACCAGATGCAATTGATTGGTTAGTAGAAAGGCATCCCAAACATTGGTCAAGGGCTTATTTCCAGACATGGATCAATGTTGACATGTTAGTCAACAACTTGAGCGAGTCCTTTAATAGTTTTATTTTGGATGCAAGGGACAAACCTATACTAACTCTAATTGAAACAATTTGAACCAAATTGGTGAAGAGAATAGCAAAAAGAAGAGAAGAGGCAAGGAAATGGCTTGGACATTTTTGCTATAAAATAATGAAAAAAATTGAAAAGTTGAAGGAACATTTAGCCAAGTGTTTTTTAGAACTAGCTGGTGCATCCAAGTTTCAAGTTGAGTGTCGTAGAAACCAAAATATTGTAGAACTTCAAAGGAGGACATGTACTTGTAGAAAATGGGACCTTAGTGGCATCCCTTGTATGCATGTGGTGGCTGCCATCTTTTATAATAATGAAAATGTTTACAATCATGTTCACCCTTGCTATAAAGTGGAAACCTTCATCAACATCAACAACAACTTCATAACTCTCATTAAAGGTGCTCCATAGTGGGAAAAAGTGATATGCCACTTGTACAACCACCAGTTATAAGAAGAGCAGTTGGAAGGCCAAAGAAAGCCAGGAGAGAAGATGTAGATGAAAAGGAAAAGCAATCTAGAAAAATGGGACAGAAAAGGGTTGCAATGAGATGTACTTTATGTGGCAATGTTGGCCATAACAAGAGGAGTTGCAAATCTTAACCCGAGGAACAAAGGAATCTCAATGTTGGATTTGAGCAACCTAAGAGGGTCAAGTTACTAGCAAGTTATTTTACTTCAATTGTTTAAAAAAAATTCTTAAATGCCATTTTCTTTTACTTAACATGTTTTTTTGTTTGGAAGATTAAGAGGGCATATGTCATAAATGAAGCATTAGTTCTAACTTAAGTGATTAGAACAATTCTCAAAGTCAAATGACCACTAGATGGTTTGCCAATGTAAGTTTGGTGGTTTGTTGGCAAAAGTTTTTTCATAATTAATTTGATTAATTAGAAAATAATTTTTACCCTCTCTTTATATTTTCTAATATAGGGGTCTAGTCAAATAGTATATACATCACCAAATGTTGCTCCTATCATTGTTAATCATCCACCAACTCAAGCTTATGCAACTTCATTTGAATCTCCTTCAAATTTATTTCATTCTTATGCTTCATGCCAATCTTCAGTTGATGCTTCATCTCAAGCAATGTCAACAATATCACAAGTAGAGCCAAAGATAAGAAAATACAAATCAGTGAACTTTTTGTTAAGGTTTTCTTTTCCTTTTTTTTTTTTCTCTTTTTTGATTTGGATGGTTGCTTACAATACAAACTCTAGAATTGAAATACTTGTCCAAGAAATTGTCTTTTTTATGAATGATAAGAAGCTTTTTTTTATGGTTTAATATATTATTTTAGTCTTAATTTTATTACTATTTATTACTATTCGCAAGGATAATATGTGATTTTTAATAAGTTTTACATTGTTTTCATTCTTTGTGAAAAAGAACTTAAATGCATGAGAATAGGAGTTTTTGGGATCAATTGAATATCTTTTGAGAGTTGCACTACTAGAAAAAGGACGTATACGGACCGACCATATACGGACCGAATACTGTCGGTCCGAAAAACTAAATATTCAAACCAATATCGGTCTGAATATACTAATGAACATATTCGGACCGGTATCGGTCCGTATATTTCTGGCGGGCGTCACAGTATAGACG